GAGACAGCTTCCCATTGTCGCCCAGGCTGATGTGCAGTGCCACGATCTTGGCTCACTGCAAACTCTGCCTCTGAGGTTCAAGCGACTCTCCTGCTGCAGCCTCCCAGTAGCTGGGATTACCGGCGCGAGCCTCCGTGCCTGGCTAATTTTTCTATTTTTAGTAGAGATGGTGAGAGCTCCCTATGTGGCCAAGACTAGTCTCGAACTCCTGACCTTAAGTGATCCCCTGGCCTTGGCCTCCGAAAGTGCAGGGATTACAGATGCCCGGCCCTATATGCCTTTTGTGTCTGGCTCTTTGAGCACGTTTTGAGGTTCTATGAGTGGGGAAACTGAGGCACTAGACAGCAACTCAATGCTGTTTCCTCGTTGCGGAGCTGGGAGTTTGCAGCCAGGCGATGTTTCTGGAGTACGAGGCACTGGGAAGCGGGAGCGGGCGGGAGACTTCAACTTCCGGCGTGCCCCGCGCGCCCCCCGCGGCTGGACTACAAATCCCAGACTGCCCCTCGGTGGCGGGCGGCGGGCGCGGCGCGGCGCGGCGCCATCTTGCAGCCGGCGGCGCGGATTGAATGAGCCCGCCGAGCCCCGGCCGCCGTCGGGAGCAGCGCAGGCCGCGAGCCGCCGCCACCATGGCCACGCCGCTGACCGGCCGCGCGGGCGGGCCCGCCACGCCGCTGTCGCCCACGCGCTTGTCGCGGCTGCAGGAGAAGGAGGAGCTGCGCGAGCTCAACGACCGCCTGGCGCACTACATCGACCGCGTCCGCGCGCTAGAGCTGGAGAACGATCGGCTCCTGCTCAAGATCTCAGAGAAGGAGGAGGTGACCACGCGCGAGGTGGGCGCCGGGGCTTAGGGCCCGGGCGGGGGTGCAGCCGGCAGGCCCCGCCCACCGCGGGGCGCGAGATCGCCGGGACCCTGGGCGGGGGTGCAGACGGGGACGGGCCCCGACCTCGGGGGTCTCCGCGGGGTTCTTGGGGGGCCCCTGAGTGAGGGGTGCAGCTCGGTCAGGCCCCGCCCACCGCGGAGTTAGCGATCGCGGGCACCCTGGGTGCAGACGGGGACGGGCCCGGGTCTCGAGTCTCCAGGGGGTTTCGAGGGGCCCCTGAGTGAGCGGTTCAGTTCGGCCAGGCCCGGCCCGCCGCGGGTGCGCGATCGCGGGAACCCTGGAAGGGGGTGCAGGCGGGGACGGGTCCCGGCTCGGGAGTCTCCCGGAGGTTTGGGGGCCCCTGAGTGACGGATGCAGCTGGGCTAGGCCTAGCCCACCGCGGGGCTCGGAGTCGTGGGGAATCCTGAGCAGACGGAGTGGGTCCGGCCTCGGGGATCTCCGCTGGGATTCGGAGAGTCCCTGAGTGAAGGATGCAACTCGGCCAGGCCCCGCCCACCGCGGGGTGCGCGATCGCGGGGGATCCTGGACGATTCCCGGCTCGGGGTCTCTAGGGGTTTGAGAGGGGGCCCTGAATGAGGGGTGCAGGCCGGGCTGGTCCTGCCCACCGCGGGGCGCGCGATCGCGGGGTACTCTGAGCAGGGATGGGTATGGCGGGTCCATGGAGATGGGGTGGGGGAGGTTGGGGGACCTGTGTGAGAGGTGCCCGCTGGGCAGGCTCTGCCTGCCACAGTTTCCGAGATCCTGGGGGCCCCTTAGGGGGTACCGACGGGAATAGCCCATTCTCTCAGGGGCTCCCAGAGGGTTTCTAGGGCTCTGAGGAGTGCAGACCAGGAATGGCCCACCTGTGGAGGGGGTCTCCTGAGTGAGGGCCGCAGAGGGGCCTCCAGCTAGCTCTGGGGACCCTTCCGTGGGAGGCGCTTACTGCGGCCATGAGGGGTGCCGACTAGGGTTCCCCACCAAAGAGAGGTCCCGGGGATTTGGGGGCTCCCTGTGTATTGGGTAGCAGCCTCTATGTGCCTCGACCCTCAGAGGATTCCAAGGAGAGTTGGCAGACCCCCCCCCCAACTTGAGGGGGTGTGAGTGGTGAATCTGGGGGAATGGGGGTGGTCTCTGGGCTCCAAGGAGACTGGGGGGGCCCAGGCCCTCTGAGAAGCCCCACGATGCGGTGGGAATGGGTGGGGGGTATTTCTGGAGTCTCCGGGGTGAGTCGTGTGGTCTCAGTTCTCCCTGGAACTGTAGGGAGTTGGCTGATGAATCCAGGAGAGGTTGGTGATGGGTTGGAGTCAGGCGCCTCATCTCTCACCAGGGCCAGGGGTGGGTAGGGGGCCGAGGGAGAGGTTCCGATACCTTGGGGTCCCATGGGAAATTTGGGAGGCCCTTACTTGTACCCTGGGGTCACCAGCGGCCTGGCAGCCTCTGCCCTCAAGGGGATGTGAAGGAAGGGGAGACTGGAGGTCGTGGGTGCAGTGGAAACTGCAGGTTCTGAGTGGGCCTGGAGGCTTCGGTGCAGACTGAAGAAGGGGCTGGCGAGTCCGGCCTGCCAAGGGGACGTGAGGGCGGGTGTCGTGGGGTCTGGGTGCAATCTGTCCTGGCCACCTGCCTAACCCTGGGGAGGCTCTTTGTCCCTCCCACTGGCCATGCCCAATCCAACGACAGATGGGGGGCAGCCAGGAGCACCCACTTGGTTCCTGCCATGGGTTGGGGTCCTGGGGTCCCCAGGTCCCAGCGTCCTGTTGGGAGAGCCGGGTGCTGAAGTCGGGATATGTGGCTCTCAGCCCCCACCTGCCTGTCTGGAGATGGGAGGACGTGGTGGCTTCTGGGAGAAGAGCTGCTTGTTGAGGGGCTCGGGTCCTTTCTGGGAGCCACTTACCCTCTGTGTGACCTTGGGCTAGTCACTTGCCCTCTGTGGGTCTCAGTGCCCCACCTTTGGAATGGGGTGATTGTAACACCTGCCTGTTGCTTGTGTGTGGGGCCACAGTAACTAAACTTTGGTCTGGTGGCTCCCTGTGGGTTCTGTTGTCACAGTGCCCTGGGGACAGGGAACCTGAAAGAATGTAGCCGGTGCCTTCAGGGAGGTAGAGGGAACATCAGCGCTTGGTGGGGTCCCCTGCTTTGCTTTTCTTGTTTTTGAGATGGAGTCTCTCTCTGCCGTTCAGGCCGTAGTGCAGTGGTGCAATCTCGGCTCACTGTAATCTCCGCCTCCCGGGTTCAAGCGAGTCTCCCGCCTCAGCCTCCCGAGTAGCTGGGACGACAGGTGTTCATCACCACGCCCGGCTAATTTTTGTGTTTTTAGTAGAGTCAAGTTTCGCCATGTTGGCCAGGCTGGTCTCAAACTCCTGGCCTCAGGTGAGCCGCCTGCCTCAGCCTCCCAAAGTGCAGTGATTACAGGCGTGAGCCGCCGCGCCCGGCTGGTTTCCTGCTTTTCAATCGGTGTGGCTTTGGGCAGGCCCTGTGTCTCTTGGAGCCTCCATCTTGTCATATGTCCAGTGGGGACAGAATTGTCCCAACTTAGAGGCCGCCTGCGGACTGCGGTGTGCAGGGTTAGACCTGGCTTCTTGTCTTGGGTCTCTGTTGTCCCACCTGCCAATCAGTGGGACAAACAGCTGCAGGGAGCTTCGGGGGTGCGGGGCCTGGTGAGTGCTGGGGAGGGACGCCCTGTTGGACGGCCGGTGCCCTAGAGGAAGCCCCGCCTAGCCACCTCTCGGGGCCCCAGCAGCGTCCTTTCCAGCCCAGTTCACTCAGGCTGGGTGAAATGCATGCCTGACTCCGGTGAAGGCAGCCGCTCAGCAGGTGACACACTGCCCTCCCCCGCCATGAGCCATGTCTGCAGGGCACGTGGCAGGGGACAGCTGGAAGCTTCACCTGGGACTAGTGGTCCAGGAACCCGGCTAGTGGGGAACTGAACGGGGAACCTGCTGAGGGAGGGGCCGCTGGTAGGGGGGCATCATGTGGGCCCTCACGGAGGGGGTGAGCTGGAATAGCTGGGGGCTTTCTGGACACAGGTGGGCCAGGTGGGGTTCAGGGAGCAGCCTCAGGCTCAGGCTGGCAGGATGGGGGTGGGGGAGGGAGCTCTGATGAGGAGGGACGTTGACTGTCATGCCTCAGAGCATGCAGGTCACCTGGACAGCGGGGCCTCTCTTACCTGGACGGGCTCTGCCCTGGGGGCGCTTGGCCAAGGCTGGAGATGCCTCTGGTTGTCACACTGGGAGAGACACATCATTGGCATAGAATGGCTGGATGCTGGGGTGCTGCTCAGCACCCCGAAAAGAGAATAACCTGGTCCCTGGCCCTCATGAGGACTACCCTACCCCTATGAGGACGACCCGGCCCCATGAGGATGACCCAGCCCCCATGAGGATGACCCAGCCCCCAGGAGGATGACCCGGCCCCCAGGAGGATGACCCAGCCCCCAGGAGGATGACCCAGCCCCCATGAGGATGACCCGGCCCCCAGGAGGATGACCCGGCCCCCAGGAGGATGACCCGGCCCCCAGGAGGATGACTTGCTCCCATGGCATCTGTGGCCAGGCCAAGCAGCCTGCTGGGAGGCAGGAGGGACTGGGTTCAGATTTTCTCAGGCTCATAACACAACGCAAAGCATCCAGGTATGTGGCGGTCCCCGAGGTCCCCACACACATCTTGCTCACTTCTTTCCTGCCGGCATGAGCGCTCCCTTTCACACTTGTGCACAACCAGGGCTGGGCGTGGGTTCCACATTCCCGTGTGACGCAGCAAGGTGTCTTTTGGTGGCATGGATGAATCGCCATGTACGCGTCGCTGGAGGGCTTGGGGAAGGGTGGGGTGGGGGCTGGCCAGATGGGTGTTTGTTGAAGAGGGATCACTGCGTGCTGGTGGCGGGGCGGCCTGTGTCCAGGTGTGGGAGAGGCAGGTACTCCAGGTACTCCCTGCCAGGCGTTGTGTTCCAGAGGGAGGAGACTTGGCCTCGGGTCTTCTGCCTTCCCCCGCCCCTGTGTCCCCTGGCTGGTTGGGGCTGCGGGGACGTGCGGGGGGCCTTGGAGGTGGCCCAGGAAGCTCCAGCAGGCGGGGGCCGGGCAAGCTTGGAGGCTGGAATCTGCTTTGGAAGTGACCCCGAGCCAGTGTTTGCATTTGCCCCTTGGAACCGTAGTTCTCAGCTGGGCAGCTTTGTACCCCCGTGACCTCTGCCAGCCGAGTGTGCCACTCTGAGCGTGTGGGGGACCCCAGGCAAAGGCCATTTCAGGTCACCTGAACCCCTGCCAGGCCCATTTGTTGGGATCCCTCAAGCCCAGCACTTGCTGGATGCCATAAAAGATGAACAGAAGGCCCAGCCCGTCCCCAGCCCCTGCAGCGCCTCTAAGCACCAGGGCGGTTCCGCCCCAGCACACCTGTTCCGCAGGCTGAAAGGGTCTTTGTGAGGCGCCCCCGCCTCCGCACGACAACTCGCCTCGTTATGAGAGTGCCGCAGACCAGGCACGCTCGGCAGCCTCTCTCTGAAACAGGCCGGACTGTGTCCGTCTGAACCACTCAGCTCTACCAGAGCGCAAAAGCTGCCTTAGACCGTAGGGGAAGAAATGGGCACAGCTGTGTGCCAGTGAAACTTTGTTAATGACACCACATGGAACTGTGAGGTGCATGCAGTCTGCCCGTGTCACGGATTATCTTCATCTTTTTCTCCTCGAGGTTTTTGTTTGTGTTTTTGAGACGGAGTCTCGCTCTGTCACCCAGGCTGGAGTACAGTGGCCCCATCTCAGCTCACTGCAACCTCCACCTCCCGTGCTCAAGATGTTCTCGTGCCTCAGCCTCCCAAGTAGCTGGGATCACAGATTTGGACCACCACACCCAGCTAATTTTTGTATTTTTAACAGAGATGGGGTTTCACCATGTTGGTCAGGCTGGTCTCAAACTCCTGACCTCAGGTGATCTGCCTGCCTCGGCCTCCCAAAGTGCT